CAATCTTGGGTTCATATGCTCTCTTTGTATTCTTAGGACGTGAATTAAGTTGTGATTGATTTGTTTTTTCCAATGATTGTCTCATTTCTAATTCAGTTTGGACACGAGCAGAGTGGACAGTGCGAGATGTTGATTGAGTGTTATTATCCATTTTTGAGATGTTTTAAATTAATAAAGATGAATGAAACATTTTAATTCATTCGTTTTCATACAAATTATGATTTTAAACGCAATTTGTAATTATACATCCGTGAACTTCTAGCACTTTCTTTATAGAAAATTCGATTAAGTCTTTCGTAAATCACAACAGTAAAAGACTTATGAAAAAGTTAGCTTATGTACATGATTTATAGTAACCTTAAGATGTATCCTAATTGCAAGTAGTAGATTAAGAGCTTCCAGAACCCAAATTATTCACACATGTTTGACGTTAATGCAGGTACACACATAAGCACTTTTTAAAACACGTCCAATCATTGAGCGTTATTTGGGGAAATCTGAACATAAATTTATTATAGCTGGGATACCTACAGGCCGGTTTCCCGGGAAGGTTTCCCACTACAAATTTTTTAGATAAGTCTTATTTATTGTTCACCATTAAGATCTTCTGTACGAAGTATTTCGTTCTCAATCTCAGCTTCGAGGCGATCCAAAGCTTGTTTGCGACTAAGCTTATAGAAACGCAAAGTCTCTTCATCATCCTTGAACTTCTCTAAGTCAACGCTGAACAATCTCTCATCCAACAACTTTTGATTGACTGCCAAAAGCTTTTGGTTGACAGCCAATTTCTCCTGCTTAATGGCGTTCGCCATATCCATCTTCTTCATCATCTCATAGTATTCGTCTGCTAGCTGTTGCTGGTTTGTTTCCCAGTTAACCAAGGTATCAGTGATCTTCTTGTCCTTGGAAGCCTGGTTCTTGCTCTTTTTGCGTCCATTAGAACGCGCAATGATGGGTCCATCACTTTCACCGTCTTCATCCTCAGCAATCACTGTTGACGTCCTAACCTCAGTAGCAGCAGAGCTACCAGGAGCACAAGAAGCGGTAATCGTTCTCTTGGAACCTGCCTTTACCGCCTGTTTTCTCACGAGCTTGGCGTCTCTTCTTGCCATCTCATCATTCCACTTTGGACTATTACGAAGTATCAAAAAACAATCGTAAAAAGCGAAATGAACACGGTATTTTGTTTGAAACAAATTGAAAGCATCCCCCAACTATTTGTTAACTTATATGAGTTAAACTACTATATCCCTTTATCGATAGTTATATGATACGTACTTCATCTGCAGCAGCATTACCGCTTTTTTTGCGTCGCTGGATTGCTGAGACACAGCCGCAGTACTTGCTGACAGCAGCCGAAATGTTCCCCCAATGGTTTTTGAAAGCCTTCTCGTTTCTTTCTGGCCAGTCGAGCTCACCCTCCGCCTTAAAGTAGCTCATAATCAACTTCCAGAACACTTCCGCCTTCATCAAATTACCATGGACTGCCTGCTCCGAGATCGGCAACCATGACTTGCACACCTGGACATTCTCCTCGTGTGTCCAGCGGAAACGCTTCAACTTGCTGGTATCCGAATGACCAGCATCCTCATTGCCACTTTGCTCATGGTCGTCAATTCCATGGACATTACCATCATCACTGGCATCGCTACTAGAATAGTTGCCGTTGTCGAAGTCAGAATCGTTGTTATTGCTCATTTTTATTAAAAAAGGTTATAGAGATAAAAAGGGGTATTTTTTATTGATGTTTTTTTTCCTTTAAAAAAACACTTCGGATTGGGAAAATTTATGGGAAATTTTGATTTCCCAAAGTTAAGGGTTTTTTATCGGGCACTGCTGGGGGTAAAAAACTTTTAATTTTCCCTTAATTAGCGGGCAAATCGACTTTTATCGGGCACTGCTGGGGATGCTCTAAAAGTCAAAAATTTCGAAATAATCATGTATAAATTTATTGTTATAAAATATGTTCAATTTGGTTATTCCCAAACGTTGCTTCGTACAGGAAATGTGACCCAGTTGCACTGACCCAGAAGAAGGAGTGATTTGAATGTTATTTGCAAGATACTTCACAAAGGAAGGTTGGACCATTGAGGTAGTGGCACCTGTGTCCACGATTGCGTAGGTTTTGATATCCTGTACAACAAGAGGAATAATAATCATGTTAGATTTATTAGCCGGAGGATGACTATAAATATTATGAAACTTACATTGCTGAGCCTGGCGGGCGATCATTTCTGAATCCGTCATTTCAGTATCATCTTCATCCGAGTTAGTTCGGTTACGTGCAGCATTACTATTACTGGCAGCGAAGTCGTTCCACATACTGGTGTTAGGACTATTGACAATGGGAGCTACAGAGTCCGAGACATAATTGTTGGCATTACGGTTATTACCAGACAAAGAAGAGACATTCATAGCATTGAGGTGCAAAGTTCCAAGGACGTTAGGCCCACCTCTGGAAGTATAGCATACGTGTCGTGGCGTCCAGTTATCAGCTTGGCACTTACGACATTTACGATTGTTAGTGGGAGTACCTCCAGCAGCAGCAGCATGGCAATCCACGGTGTTGTGGGTAGTTACCCGATGAAAAGAGCAAAACTTCCCAGACGACTCCTTTGGCTTATGAACTCTTGTTGAAGAGGACGAACCAGCAACAGAAGACGACCCAGCAACAGAAGAAGAAGACCCATGGTTAACCCCACGACGAGAGGTCACAGCATGCTTTGACAGCTTGGAATACTGATGAACTTCATCATCTTGATCCATGACCGTAGCAGAGGGCTTAGGAGTACGAGGCGCAGACAAATCAGACGTATCTGCTCTCATTTTTCCTTTGGAGAATCGATTAAACAACCCGCGGGCAAGACCAGCGAGAACCTCAACATCTTGTTGCTTGTATATGGGCAAAGTGGCAGTAGAAATGGAGGCAAGATTAGACAAGTTGTCGGGCAAAGCAAGAAGGAATTTCTCGGCCAAGATTGAATCCGGCAAGACTTGGTCAACAGCACGGCGACGAAGACTGTTGAATCTATCGATGAATGACTCCAAAGATTCACCACGCAACATGTTGATACTGTTAAGCCCACGCGCACAATTGTTGCGTTCTTCCTGAGCATTGAGACCATACCGATTCTGGAAAGCAGTGGTAAATTGCAACCAAGTGAAATCAAATTGGTACGTAGTACGATGGGTGGCCAAATATCCGTCGAACCAAACACGGGCTTTACTTGTCAAGTAAGGAGGGAGGAGACGCAAAAAATTGGCATCGATGTCGATGTTATGACATTTCAGGACATCAGTGAAGTTGGTGAGGCAGGTCTAGATATCTTCAAAGATATGAGCACCAGGTACATTCTCATGACCTTCCCAGCAGAACATGGCAAGCTTTGCAGGGACTACGTCAGAAACCTTCGACTTTTCAACCGTGTCTTCAATGGTGCTTTGGACAGCGTCAAGAGCGGCCTTCAAGGATTGCAAATCTCGAGTACGACGCTCTAAAGAATACGCTTGTTACGCAACAAGGGATCACTCTCGGGAGCAGAAGAAACATACATACTGTAGGATAAGACATCAGCTTGAGTCACAGAGATGGCCCGTTTCATATCATCTATCTTGCTGTTAATAGTAGGCTTGGGACCTTGTACCTCCTGTTGGCTGGTATTGATTTCAGGTGATCCAGGAGCTGTAGGTTCAATCAACGACGTTGACTCAGAGAAAGTTTCCTCAATATCTTCCATAGGAGAAGACTCATAGTTATCAACAAGAGGAGTATCACCAATACGACGAGCATCGGGAACAGGAGACGAAGCACGAGAAGCACTAGCGGCATTCATGTCAATAGTAGCAGATTGGTTATTGGTAGACATTAGAAGTATTTGAATAGGTAAGTTTTAGTTATAACAAAAGATAAATAAAAACAAGAAAATTATCAAACTTGCAAAAATTAACTAAGGCTTTATTAAACAAACAAAAGGGGGTCTTTATATACAGATTATTTCAAACATTGATCACAGATGGGCAGATGACGGTCGTGGGTAGATTCATCCAGATAATACTCGGATGTAATGATCCCATATAGAAAGGCCATAATGAGATGTCAATAAAAATAACAATAACATTCATTCTTAAACTGTGTATGTCTTGTAGCACAATATTCAGGGGAAAATGTAGTTCTTAATTCAGATAGCTGTGGCACCTCAAAGTGGCTGATGTAACCTTCATATGTGTTCATATCAATGTTATTATTTAAATGTATGTCTTATACTTGTATGAAGGATGATATGAGATCAAGCCTGTACATAAAGTAAATGATCAGTATTTAATATAACAGTAACGATAAGAATTATATTTAGGATTATCAAATGGAAGATTTAAGAAGTGTAGATAGAGTCATATATTAAGTATATAGCCGCGATCACAACAGTCAGTACAACTATAATTGTACTGGAATTTAATGTCGTATGAATATTGATGAGTGAAGATCATGCATATCAAGTCTTTATATGTCCTGAATACGATTGATGAAAAAGAAATCGGGATAAACGTTTTTAACTTGTCGAATACAAATTAACATTGTAATGTCATACTATTAACACCAACAAGAAAAAAATGATCACATTAGTGATTTTATTCCGCAGCTCTAGCTCAATTGTGAAAACCGCTATAAGATTGCATTGAAACTTTTATTTGTCATCAGATACAGCTATGATGAAAGCATCTTCCGGGATACCAATGGTTCTTTCTTTATGTTTTGGGAACTGGCCCCATTTGTTCCAGTACGTCTTGAACATCTCCAAGTACTTAGGATGCTTTCGGTAGCAATCCACTACAACCGGCCAGTTTTTACACGTATGTTTCATCTTGAGACTAATCCAGTGACGGTTTTTGACGTTTTGCAAAACGAGAGGAGAGGGGGGCTTAATGCTAGTGTTTTTTGGAATAGCAAGCGGGAGGAAAGTCAAAGCTTCGTTATCTCCACAAGGAAAAACCACCACAGGAATTCAATACGCATCGGCGACAACTTGGGCACACTCAGGAGTGGTAAACCAGTCTCCATATTCAGCATCGCCATCACCATCCACCCAGTTGGTACCGCTCGTGATCAACCTCTCCAGATCACGTTCTTTATCAAAGTCCAACAAGGACCAGTAGCTTTCCTTATTGGCATGAAAAGCCTTCAGCATTTTTTCTTTGACAACAGGAAAGTTGTCCTGGTTGCCTTCGAAAAAATTAGCTGCAGCTCTTCATCCACACCATCCGTCTCCCTTTGGATTAAATATATCCAATAAATGTTTTTTTTGTACATCATTATGCAAATCGGCTTTAAGCTCACCGATACTACATTCAGCTATTTTACGAGCCTTCTTAGGAGGCAAGTACAAACCTATAATAAAAACAGAGTTGATAAGCTTATTAACAAATAAACCTACATGTATGTAATTAATCTTATACCGGAATCTGCGTTTCTCTTCCCAAATCTTTCAACCTTCAAACCTTCAGTGCTATTTTCTGCTTTCGAAAAAATATACTACAAAAATACAGACTTGTTAATTTTACAAAATACTAAATTAATTTACTGACTCTTCTTACCTTTGCCGTCATAATTTTGGAAGCTCTTTGATTACTTCTTGAGACGACAAAGCCTTTCTCATACTCGAAAGGCGGAACAAATTCTTCTTTCTTCCAGGTGTTCTAACTTCCTCAGACAAAGGAAGTGACATTTCCTTGACATATATGTCGTCCCCACTTGTTATGTCCTCCAACTCGGCAGTTGCTCTTCTAAACAAGTCAGAAAGCTTCTCCACCTGCTGGTCGGTGCAGCAATTTCCAAAGCGTTCAATGATTCATGGACCGTTAAAAGAGCCCTCTTAAACGCTTTTCCTTGTATGTTGGAAAGGTGTTTGTTCTCTTGCATTAAAATATCAACCTTGAATTTTTCCAAGTTCTCCAAACGTTCAAGGTTTTCGAGTTGTGACACGAGGTAATTGTCAAGCAACTCAAACGACTTTTCAATGGATTGAAGTCCGAAAAATCCATCTTTTAAGGCTCTATGCCCACTTTCGACTCTCTGAGTGGATACACATCCAAAATGCTGGTAATTTCTTGTGACATGTCCAGCCCACTTCTGGGTAATCTCACGAAGTCAATTGCTGGTAAAGTCAATCCAACCAGACCCTTCTTTGCCTTCCAAACAGAGAGCTTTGTTCTTGGTTGTTTGTTCCAACATTTTCAAGATTTAGTTGAACTCTTCAACCGAGGTAGACCTTTGCATTTTTACGACCAAATCAATGCACTTTTTCTTTGTCTCACTAGACCGGAAGGTGTTGGAAAATGCTTTGTCTACACTCTGATACATATGCCATACACAAAGCATATGCTTGTTTTCCGGGAATACTTTATCTAAACCAACTAGTATACCTGTTCCTTTGTCGGTAAGGAACGTAGTGGTCATGGATTATTTTCCAAGTACTTCTTTCAATGTGCTGAAAAACCACTGGTACGTTTTTTTGGTCTCATTAGAAACAAACGCCATTGCAACAGGAAAGTTCTTCAAGCTCTCCCCCCTACGCTACTGACACCTTGTACACAGATCAGAGGCATTTTCAAGTTGTTCATGCTATAGGTAGCATCGACAATAAAAACGTCGCTGCAGACATTAGCTCTATCTAACATGCCATTTTTTTTTTTTTGTGAAAAATACGGGGCTAAGTCTGTTTGTTCCAACGTCAAATTCATATCTGGTAAGATATCCAGCTGTTGTGATCGAGCTTTATACATTCATGTATGCTTGATCTACACAGCATATTTTTATCCATTACGATAATTTTATAAACACTTCTTTTAATGTTGCATATTAAATATTCACAATTGACTTAACAAACTAGCACGATATTCATCAAGCTAAATACAAGTACAAAAGTATACATTTATTATACAAATATTATAAAAAGACATTTTTAAGATATTGTACTAATCAGATTAGCGGAGGCCAATGACAAGCGAGGTTTAAAAGTACAAACACGCTAAACTTTTGAATGTACTTTGATGACTTTTAAATGTACGCGTCAAGTGACACTACAGACCTATTACAGAAACGTGTACCACTCTTTCTTCTATTTTATGCTTTCCATTGGATTACTTACTTTCAAGATATGGCGTGTCAGTCATAATCTTGCCTGTCATCTAGCCCTGTCTAAGAAGGAGGTCGAATTCAATATGTATATAAAGGACCCCTAAATTTTATGTTAATAAAAGTTCAGTTAATTTTTGCAATCTGGTTAATCTTACTCGTCATTTTTCCTAAATTATCATCGATTTATCAGGCATTACGGCGCTACAGCCATGGAAAAGACAATCCACAATGACAATATCAACTGGAAAGGGCTTATAAAGGATATTTTAAAAACAGTAGCATCATGTAAAAGATGTAGCCTATTCAATAGAGGTCAAACTGTATATCACCCACCAAGTAGTATACTTCCAAATAATATAATGGACCATATAGTAATGGATCTAGGAGATCTCAATATAACCACACCTAGAGGAAATAACTTCATCTTAGTGATGGTGGATCTATTTTAAAGATTTGTAATGTTAAGTGCACTGCCAGATAAAAAAGCTTCGACAGTAGCAAAACAATTAGTACATAATTTCTCTATATTAGGGTATAGTAAGATAATTAGTCATGACCACGGATTAGAATTTGACAATTTACTTATCAAGAGCATAATCGATCAATGTGGAATAGACCACAGATTATCATCGCCATACAACCCATTAGGAAATTCTGCAAATGAATCATTTGTAGGTATCACAAAGAAAACTATAGTAAAAGTTTTAGAAGGAAAAGAGGAAGACTGGGATTTATTCCTACCTTCAGTGCAATATGTAATGAATAATAAATATTCTAGACAACACAAGGCACGACCCTTCGAAGTGATGTTTAACAGGCAAGCTAACGACTTTGCCGATTACAAATCTATAACACCAATCCTTCAAAATAAAAGGAAGGTCAATTTGAAAGTAATCTTAGAAAAGATGAAAGACGTAAATAATATAATCATTCCAGCATTACGCAATGAAATGGCTGAACAACAGGACAATGAGTATTTTATGAAGACACATAAAATTAATTATGAACCATATACCTTAGGAACTAAAGTAATGATTAAAAACGTAAATAAGTGTTCGAAAACAGAACCGTACTACGAAGGACCATACACTATAGCTAACATAGTAAAACCTGGATTATATGTATTAAAAGACACCACAGGTGAACTTTATCCAAGGAACGTACCTACATCTCACATAAAGAAGATATCGAGCGAAATAAATTCAGACCAAAAAAAGTACTATGAAATACAGAGTATTTTAAATCACAGAGGTGATAATGCTAGCAATTACGAATATCTAGTTAGATGGAAAGGCTATGACTCTGACCATGATCTATGGATATCATCTGAAAATTTTGACTCTACTGAAGCTATAAAAACTTATTGGAAGAGAAGAAAAGTCAATCATGCTAATTTAAAGAAGATTCAAAAAGAAGCAGAAAAGAAACAAAAACTTCCCCAAAAGAGTGCGATTAAAAGAAAATCCACTCATGATGCCAATACAAAGAGCTCAAAGAAATCCAAGATTTGATATCTATTAATTATGTATCTTTTCCCTTACGGTTGTAGTAAGAGTTTTTATCGACTTAATTAGGAAAGGATTCGCCACACAACATTTTTTTTTTGCGAAACATTTTTTCTTTTATTTTTATTTTTAATTTTTCAAGTTATATCCAATCAATCCAGAGTTATCAAACTCTGCATTCTCTTTATATATTATCATGTCAATCAATCACTCTAGTCACTGCTTCATTCTTAAACGATTCCGAATTAGAAGGGGGATGATGGTGTATCACAAGACTATCTCACCATAATTACAACTACTCTAATGTAAATACGGAACATATAAGAATCACCGATACAACAAATACGAATCACCGACTAAACAAACATGAACATATAATATATATACAAGAGCAAATTAAGCATTTAATAAAGGATTATCTCATATTTGATTGAAATTATTGTCTCTTAGACATCGGATACTACAGTACTAACTATCTATATTGGGTAATTGATTCCTTAATCATTCTTAATGTATTGATGTCATAGATATGGACTTATTCAACGTAGCAACAATATAGCAGATAACCACATCATCAACGTACAATGGATTATAATCATGTCGGTTTTTGATGTTGTTTTCATAGGTACTACAGTATTTCAATCAAAACGCGCATCAGCGAAGCTTTCAATTACGGTTCAATTCAGTGTACATTTTGGACGCTTTTAACAGACGTAAGCACAACCCGAATGACGTATTCAAATGTATATCTGTCTTTTCCTTTCCAATCACTGATGCACCTATTAATAGCACGATATAAATAAACTACATTATAAAACAGTCAGAACCAATCGCCTATTACAGATCTATACTAATGATTTTGCATTGGTGAGAAATTCGAGAGTGATAATAGCGAATTAAGAAAAAATGTGAAATTTAACAAAGTGAAATTATCAAACTGCAAAAATAAACTAAAGCTTTATAAAACAAATAAAAGGGGGTCTTTATATACACATTATTTCAGAAATTTATCACAAATGGGCTGATGACGGTTGTGGGTAGATTTATCCAGATAATACTCGGATGTAATGATCCCATATAGAAAGAACATAATTAGATGTCAATAACAATAACAATAACATTCATTCTAAAACTGTGTATGTCTTGTAGCACAGCATTCAGGGGAAAATGTAGTTCTTATTAAAGATAGCTGTGGCACCTCAACGTGGCTGATGTAACCTTCATATGTTTTCATATTCATGTTAGAGTGCATCTTCATTGTAATATACCAAAACGTAATCTGTGACATTTTTGAGCATTCATCTCCGACTAGTACAAGTAATATAAAAGGAAATTTATTTATAGCCAGATTTTTTTAATGTGGGGAGAATTTTTTTTTTTTTTTAAGAAACTTTTTCAGGGAAATATATTTTATTTGGGGGGAGTCTAAATTGTTTTTTTTTTTTTTTTTTTTTAGATTGAAAGTCATCAAGGAGCAACTAAACAGCACGTCTGTGGGATCGATATTCTTTGGAAAACTTACTGATAATATTTTCAGCTTCCAAGACATCGTTACCCTCGCTGTAAGCGTCAATATATCTATAGGCACGATTATAATATCGTCTATTGATTTTAGGACCGAAAACAGCCTCATCATGGTCAAGAAACTCTTCGATTCTTGGCTTCAGAGTGTCAAACGAGTAATCACATTCTATTCGTGCAAATCGTTTAGCTGCACCCCAATGTCTTTCAATCCAATTGCACTCACAATGGTACTTAGGGTATAGGGTAAAAAGGTGACCAGCCTTGGATGTTTGGGTCTCCAGCATATTCTTCTGGGCCTTGAAATCAGGTTGTTGTGACAACAAGTATTCGGCACAACAGCCAGGTTTAGCCTGAGGGTCGTGTGGAGTACCTCTCACACAAACCCTTCTCAGAGGCTCATTTCTGCCGAGCAGGCCACGTTCTCTCAACAGACGGAGAGTTCCCTTGAACTTCTCACGTTTCTACAGAGATAATGATAATAAAGATGTCAGTTCTTTATATATTAATGTTATATTATTAAATTTACTTGTGCGTGTTGGTACTTTTCGACAAGTGCATTGGTATCAAACGCCTGTCCTTTGGCACGCCGTCTGTTTATCTCCTTCATGGCGGCATCCACGTTCATAGATTCCATGGTATACATACTTTGAGGCTTGATGATGCCGTTTCTATCTACATAAGTGGTATCCCGAAACCTATACAGGGTAGAAGACTTTACTTCGCTAGTCCCGGAAGTCATCCTCGAGGCAACAAGAGCATCGTCCGCAAAGGCTTTATGGTTCGAGCTCTGGTCAAAGGCAAAGATACCAACACAATTAGGATGTAATTCATTGAAAAGATGAATTACAGCATATAATTGACACGTCAGATCTCTGTTTGTCCAATAACCATCGCCGTTACTGTTGCCAGGGAAGAAGATGACTCTTGATATCAAATTGACACCATTGACGGTACCTCTCATTGTTCCGTGGCAGGGACACATGAATGAACTGATCATAATAGATCTTCCTTGACCTTTAGGAAGAATCATGGTTTCGTTCTTCTCACACCAACGAGTGACTTTACAATCATTTGAATAAAAGATTGATTCGTCGTGAGTAACTAAAACCATCTTTTTTTCATTATCCTTTAGGCTAGGTTGAACTGGATCAGCATTCTCATTATCCAAGGGATAGGTTTCCATACGCTTATGCCATTCCATCATTTGTTGGGCCCACTTAATTCGATATCTGACAACATCATCCCGCTCATGGCCATCAAAGTATGTTCGATCCTTTCCTACACACATATGCCCAAAAATATAATCAAGCTAAAGCATTATTATATATGCTAAGTTTTTACATATTGTATTTACCTGTTTTATAGTCAAAACCCCAAGCCTTCAGGTAGGTTGCCAGAGCAACGTTCGAAAATGGATGCTCTGGCTGAGAGGAAATGACATCGGCACCGGCCCCGACATCATTCTCCAACTCAAGTAACTCAGGGAGCACTTCTTGTCGTATATGCTGACGAAGAGCAGGGATACTTCTACGGACAGGGTCTTGACTCCTGAGCCAGGTGATGCATCTTTCCTTCACATCAGGATCACTGAGAATTGATTTTCTCTTCGCATGTTTTCCTTGCTGATGACATGGAATGTCACCAGTGTTCAGCCAGGCTTCAAACCACTTTCTGGCAGCACGATGACGATAGGATTTCGAAGCTTGGATCCAGTGCATGTTTACCGCAAGCTTCGTTGCTTCCACAAAAGTTTTACCGTCTAATAGCTGCAACATAACATGCTTTACAACCACGTACTTCAGAAATTGTTTAACACCGTTGTGGTGTTGGTCGCTAGTGGTATTACCAGAGATACGGATTTTCGATTCCAAAAGGGGCAAAGACTCGCGAATCTTTGCCAAACTTGCTTCGTCGGGTCTTCTGGTTTCTCCTTCTTCTCTACTTGAGGTGGTGTAGGAACCTGTTGAACCACGGGGAAAAAATCATTAATCGAATGACAGCCTACAGCTGCCTTGGCTGCAGCAGATCTCTTTCTACTGAGCGTCTCTCTTGTAGGGAGAAGTTTACGCTTAAACTTCTGTTCCCCGGTTTTTTCGGTTGCGTTGCTCCAGGAAATGGGGAAAGCTTCTGCGTTGACTTCTTCTGGTCGAGGCATGTCAGCGATTTCGGCCTCTTTGGCAATTGCTTCATTAGCAATGTACTCAGCAGCAGCAATTTTTTCCATTTGAATGAATTTAGCCTTTCTTCCAATGTTGATTCTTTTTCTTGATTTAGCCATAATGAATATTGATATAGATATGTAAATTTATAAAAGTAATTTTAAAAGAATAATTACAAGGTACAAAAATTAACCCAAACTTAGTTTTAAATTCACAATTCTATTTGTCATTTTTAAAGCTCCCGTATAGTAATACGTTCAAAAACAGTAACCCTTTTGACGCGTTTTTAGTTTTAAAGAACGTTACATCTAATATTACTGAAGTAAACAAAGTTTCCATGTAGTAGACGTTCTTACTTAATGTATATCCGATTTCAAACATCTTTTTTGTGTTTTACACTTCACCATATTTGATCTCAGTTTAAAATTAGCAGGTTATGGCACTGAGTACTTTATCTAATGAATATGACCTTTCAAATACATAAATTAAATTAAACAGCTAGTTGGATCTATTTTCCAAGTACTCTAAATTATATCTTTTGAATATGAAGTGTTTTTACTTAGTACATAAAGTTTGTTTTATCCTTTTTGTGCCTTACAGTGTTGATCATATTTAATCTCAGACTCTGATATAACGGGTTGTGGCACTGTGTACTTTATCTAACGAATACGACCCTTCAAATACATAAATTAAAATAAACAACTAGTTGGATCTATTTTCAAAATACTCTAAATTATATCTTTTACATATGAAGCGTTTCTACTTAGTACATAAAGTTTGTTTTATCCTTTTTGTGTCTTACAGGGTTGACAGTAAATGTCCTCAGACTTTGATTTAATAGGCTGCGATACTACGCATGCGGGTACTCAAATTGAGAGTACAGGCAGTAAGCATTTCATGGTCCGAAGGCGGCAAATACTATACGCGGGACAATACTATTGGTCCGAAAAGAAAAATTTAAAATTTTGAACCCGCTTGTGACAATTTTTTCCCCCCACACCTAAAATCCAGTTGTAAAAATCCCGGACACACTTTTTTTTTTAGAATAAAAACTTCATATTCTCATTTTAATCATGATTAAAATAATACATGTCCAAAAATATTGGACTTTAATTATGAGGAAAGTGTGGTGGTCCAGTTTTAACGTTTCTCTCTGCTTAAAATTTTTTTTTTGGCATATTGAAGTCCAGATGCACTCTATTATTTAAATGTATGCGTTATACTTGTATGAAGGATGATATGAGATCAAGCCTGTACATAAAGTAAATGATCAGTATTTAATATAAAGCACCAATAAGAATTATATTTAGGATTATCAAATGGAAGATTTAAGAAGTGTAGATAGAGTCATATATTAAGTATATAGCCTCGATCACGACAATTGGACCTGAACTTTTGCCCTTGATATACGTCTTAAGATATTTTTGTAACTACATCTCTTAATTTGAAATAGTTCATTGCGTATTCCAGTTTAAGGTTAACCATCAACTTTGATACTGAACAATTCAATTGGCTTGTAAGAATATAGAAACGTGAGATGATGATAGTTATGTCATAACCTTTGTTCGTCTGCCAAAAAAAGGCTTTGTCACAAATGTCATCGTCCAACGAGACAAAAACGTGATTTTGAAAAGGGTGTTTTGACCTGAATTATAATAATTAGAGGTCAATTTTTTTTGAACGTTGTTGTATTCATCATACCTTTGTTAATTAAGGATCCAAAATTGATAGACATTTTTTTTAGAATACCGAATATCTTACAACATTAACATTCCAAACATCATTGACTTTTATCTCAACTGTTTGGAACCACTTTGACGTATTCGTTTATTTCTACTATTCGCATCCTTTAGTATGATATTGAAAAAATAGGAAGGGTATCAGCAGTTATCTTAGTGAAGCAATCGTTGACTATAAAACTAGCTCCAAATCATGCATACACGTTTACTTGTATTCGTCTGTCAGCTTGGTTGAGACCTCAACAGGTTTCAATTTTTTCAGCCCTTTTTGACATTTTTTCGCATAGGTTACGATATTCGTTTCGGCAAGGGTTGTGACATACCCTTTAAAAGAAGCCTTTCCTTCTTCTTCGTCGTCATCGTCATCTTTATTTATCTGCTAACATCTCTTACTTCTTCGATATTGTCTCGATATACTAAAATATTACTGCTGCTTAATTCATTCCCAACAACTGTATAGAATTATAGTTTGCGATGAAATCTATTTTTTAAACATTGTGCATGGACCTTGTGCAATGGTAAATGTCATGATGTTGGGAAAGATCTCTTCCGTTGCAGTCATTGTTAGTCATTCTATTAAGACTGTTACTATTATTTGTTCTAGTGCGTAAAAAATAAGGACATGAGTCTTACAGTACTTACTGCCGTTCAAAAGTACATTGAAACGCTTTTGTTTCGAAAAATAACAAGTGCAGTTTTTGATGCGAAGCTCGATTCCATGAGAAGGTGATTTTAAGCAATGTCGCATTAACAAAGATGAAAGAATCAATTTTCCAACAAAATAAAAAGTATGAAAGGAAAAAGAAACGTTTTTTTGTTACAAGAAAATTCAGCTTTTAAATAAAAGGAAAGCCTATATTTATCGGGATTGCCGTTATTCAGTGAAGAATTTTTAGCTTACCGCCAATTTTCTGCTAATGCCTTAAGATGTAGGAAACATCGAGTTAAAAAATGTTTTAGACATTCATGGCACGCCCACTCCAAATTTCGAATGGCAATGTTCTGGATGAAGAGGCTACATTCTCAAAAAAAAAAGGGTGCGATTTTCACTCAACTGCTTGGATAATAAAAATGGGGAGTTCGTACTCACGTACTCTTGATTATATCTGACTTAACGTCTTCAAACCAAAATATCAAGTCACAAACATAAAATAAACCCTTCGTATTGAACCAAATACTAGACATTATAAATAAAAGCACAATTGATAATAGGATATAAAAAATTTATTAAAAATCGAAACTTTGATCCAAGATTTTGTCGATTTCATCCGCCAACGAGTCGGAGTATTCTAAATGAAAGAAAATGTTCTAGTTTCAAAGTACATAATATGTAGGTATTTAATTATTTTTTACCATCTTGGTCAGCTAAGTTCTCGAAGAAGGCATTGTCAGCAGAGAACATAGGAAGGGATCCAACAGCGGAACTCGCAGAAATGGCTACCACGCCCCCAGGAGAAGAAGAAAAAATTGACGCCGAAGACCGGTCAACCGCCGCACCGAAAACAAATGGGCCAGACAATGAAGAGGCAAATGAAGGCCTTAAAAGGCCAACAGAAGGACGAGACTGCACAGGAGAAGCCGATGAAGGAGCAACCAAAGAAGAGGACACCACGACAGACGCAGGACGCGCAACAACGAGACGCACCACAACAGGGCACACCACAACAGGACACACCACAACATGAAACACCACAACATGACACAACAATGAAGAAGGCACGACGGCAGAAGGGATCTCATCACAGAAAAGCGTCATAAGTGCGGAATTGACCAAACAGCCAATGAAGGACAAGAAAAGGCCTACCAACAATAATATTCTAAAGCAATACATTAGTCTCCATTTTCAAAAAGTTCTCCTTTATCAATTTAGTGTGACATACCCTAAAGCCGAAAAGAAAACGGCCAAGAACTTAATTGGCAGGCAAAATAATTAGTACTTGATGGAGAGTCCTAATGCGCAGTCATCTTGCCAAAAGTTTTAAGAGCAGGGGGAAAAGCGGTGAAGCTCTGTCGAAATAAAAGTACAAAAACATTGATTTAGAAAGCATTTACTTGTAACAAAGTATAAACATACTTACAAAAAAACCATAGACAAAATAACGTAAATCATTTTTTGAAATAAAACAGCCTTGAAAGAAAGAAAAGAAAAAAAAATTGGCGTAGTTTCGTAGCGAGACCTATATAAAAAATTAAAGACAGTCACTTTTAGCGTGTTTTTGTGTTTAGTTCTTAACCTAAAGAGAGAATAAGAAAAATTGCTATATCCTACTATTCCCACCTGCAACGATTCCTAACAGAAACTTAATTTTTTGCTTCTTTCAAAAAATTATAGATGGTAGATCTAAATGGAATTTAGATGGAAAGGAATAATCATGCTAATTCATTGCTAAAATTGGAACGAGATGCCAAAAAAACAGCAAACAAGAATATTATACGAATGCTGTAAATACCCTTTTCAAAATTTAAATGACAACAATACAATTGAATCTAGAAATGACTTTGCCATAAGAGATCCGCGTAACGCTATCTACTCTGTGCTAAAACCACATAATAAATGCTACTGTCTACAAAAGGAAAGATGTTTCACGGAAATTTCTTCATTATAACACAACTCTAGGCTCCGACCAATGAGTGATCAGAGAATTTAAGGAACAATAATAAATCAAGGACAGCTATCTTACGATCTTCAATAAACCAAATGAATGGTCCATCATAGAAAACTACGATGGATCTGAGCTGTCAAAAATACAAGCCACAATATCTTAAATCTTCTATAAATATCAAGGCAAACCTGCCCGTCTAGTTAGCTCTTGATCAATTTTTATACAAATAAATCGACAAGACTTATAATTGTATTCTCCTTGTTTTTTATCTATTTTTTTCTGTAAAACTATTCGCTCTTAAAGTCTACTTTTACTACATACTCCCTTTATTAGGCTCTGGCATTTACCTAAAAGGTATTACTTAAGAGTATACCACAAAAAAAATAGTGTCATTCTGAATGAGTTAGTAAAAAGGTTGTATGTCAGTGGATACCCAACTAATTTGTTTAGAATGGCTTCCTATCATATACTGTATGTCTGTTGTAATGCATTTTGACGTCAATTATGTCAACTCGTTTAGCAATCATCAATGTGACATGAATCTATCGTAAATCGGTATTTGAGTAGAAGCATAACGGATAAACTCGTCGCTATTTTTTCTGCTCTCGTCAGACATCAGTGCAGCAGAGATTTTTACAAAAAACAATAACGAAGATCTTTTGTCAAATAGCACAAATTGCAAAAGCATACAACTTTCTTTTGGAAACGGGTTGAAACAAACCAGTAAAATTCGATACGTTGTTGGACAATCAAGAATATACAATAGATTAGTTGGATCATCTAGAGAAAGTAAAGAAAGCAGATGAAGTAGATGTAGTTGAGGAGCAAGTTAATACAGTAGAAAACGCTCTCATACCTGAAATAGTGGATAGAGTAGATATAGTTGGTGGTTCGGTGAAAGTACAAAATAAATGTTATTGTCCACAAAAGAAATATGTTTTACGGATAAAAGATCGGGCGGAATTGACTCGATATTGTCGACGTTTTTTTAATTATAGAACAGTAGTAGACTTTGATTAATAACAGATGGTAGATTTTTAGCAACACTCATAAATCAAGTGCAGCATTTCATGCCTACTTTTACGAATATATTTTCTTCTTTATTCTTCATTCTTTACTCAATAATAGTATATTTACTATGTTGGGTGTATGTTCCATTTAGAATGACACGGTATTAGATTTCTCCATTAGAAAAAATAATGTAAAATTTATTATCGTGCCTATATTAATCGAGTAGCAGTCAGAGTATTTATTGTCTCATACATTTGTTTAGTAAACCACTTACAGACCCTTTCGTCAAATATATAAACGATAATGCACTAGAAATGTGTAATATAATTCACCGAACTCCTTGCATGTAACAATAAGCAATATTTTATTGGTAACTGATTTCAAAATCCCGCTCAACGATCTCCCAGTTTTCTGGTAAACGTGTCATTCTATATCGGTAAAACTATTTTTGGATAATAAAAGTGTGGCAAAAGCGGTATTCACTAGTTAATTTAAATAAAGTCTTATAAAGTCGATGAGACACAATAAAGGATCTTTATTAATTTGATAAAAAGCGAAGAAGTATCTTAATTGACTGGGATAGCTTCCTTGTAATTATTGCGGATTCTAATATAGTAACTGTACGATCTCGAGATGGACGTCATCAGTACAATTATGATTATACTGAGATTTAATTTGGTATGAATATCTGTTTAAGAGAGAAGATTATACATATCAAGTGTTTATATCTTCTCAAATACGACAAAAAGAACATAAAATGACCCTTTATTTTCTCATGAAAAACTTTCCTACTGATAATAAAGAACAATAGTAACGGGTCAGATTGAAAAAAAAAATGGGAAACTTTTTTGGGGAACTTTTTTTAACCAGTCAAAGCGCTTTCCCACTTTTTCAACTTTCACAAAAAACTTTCCAACTTTTTTTTTTGAAAACGATTGGTACAATTCTTTCCCATTTTTTTTTACAATAAAAGTTACAAAATGCCTACGATCAGCACTTGTAGAGAAACTAAAAGATTGCTTACAAATAAAAGAGAAGTACTTGATAGAGATTTTTCATGATGACAGTGACGATAAAGATTCCAAGACAATTAGTGCCGAAATTGTCAAAGAAACATTAAAACGACACAAATATACGAAAACATTGGATTTTTTGAATGAGAATAGATATGTCTTCATACGATCTCATTGTCATAAGCGTAAAGGGGACTATCTCGAATGGCTTATGCTACAAACTGACAGAGTATTTAGAAGGGAAACTAGAATGCCAACCAAGCAAGCCTTCTATAATATATGCGATAGAGTAAAAGACCAAATTTTCTATAACTACTCTGATGCTGACAGAAAACAACCCAGTGTACATTTCCAGGTTGCTGTTGTTCTTTATCGACTGGATCTTTCTGGAGGTGGATCAAGTTTGGAGAACGTCGCAACGCATTGTGGAATTGGAGTAGGAATTGTCCAGATGTACACCAAACGTTTTTTTATTACCATTTTGTCAATTTTGAAAGAGTGGATTTGTTGGCCGAAGGAAGACAAAAAAAACGAATCATAGCCAACGAGAAACGATTTGGTTTCCCAAACTGTATTGGGTTTGGAGTTGACTCTTTAATGGATTTGGAGTTTTGACCAAAGTGGAGACACCAAGAGTTTTATACTCGAAAGGCAAGCTATGCCATTCATAGCCTGGCCATTTGTGATGATAAGCGAAGAATCAGGTACTTTGCTACATGTTGTGATCGAGCTTATATACAGATATAACTCTATCATCAATTCTTTCTTTCTTATTTGATAACCTTTCCATAGATCATTATTGCATTACTCTTTAAATCAAATACATGCTATTACACTCTATTTACCATGCATTGATTACTCATCAACATATAGAAAACAATAGTCATACATTTATTCCAGATAATACAATCCAATGATATGATCGCTCGTCAATAACAAGATTCTCGAAGGTACCATGAGATGCTCGATCTTTAATTGACAATACGCCTATTGTATATTTGACAGGTTTCACTTTAATGATTGATATTCAGCCAGCCCTGAATATGTATATAAAGAACCCAATTTATTGTATAATAAAGACTTTAGTTTATTTTTGCAGTTTGATAATTTTACTTCGTCAAATTTCTTTATTTTTATTCTTAATTCGTAGCTTTATCTCTCGAATTTCTCACTACAAATATCTTTGGATCAGCACACGATTCGCGTGTATTTACCGAACCAATGGGGGTTCATCCAAAACGTTATTTGCCGATGGGTAGTACATTTTTGCAGACTCTGCGTAAGGATATACACATTATATATTCCCCCCATATAAGAGGCCACCTAATGGAGAATTAGATTCAGAGAAAAAGAGATTTAACAAGATGCATTCTGGAACAAGAATTGCCATCGAGCACTGCTTTGGTATCTTGAAGTGTAGATTTCGAAGTTTGAGGATGCTTTGTTAAGTAATCCAGAACAAAGACAATATGGCCAATGCTTCTCAGTGTGAAAAATACAAGAAAATAATCTATAAGACTAATTATTAACCGGATTGCAAAAATAAAGAGTTCTTTTATACACATTGAACATAACCATAACTGTAAACTACCATCGTGGGTAGATTTCATTATAAATCATCCAAGCTGTCAATATCCCGCAAGGTACATCAAGGATAATAAAAATAACAGTCCGTAACAGGGAAATTCCCCTTAGTGCTACGTGAATTTTAGATGAGCAGCTGACATATGTCAAAATATGAAAGATGATAAATTACTTCTATCATCGCATTATACCAATACTTTGGTGTATATACTCCTCGAATACAACACAGTGGATCAAAGTCCGTGTAATTTTTTACAACATGTTGATCGATGAACCTGAGGATATGAGATTGGTCAGAAAGTCGGAAAGACTTCTGTTGATTGAAAAAGCAATGGGAATCACGGAAGAAGAACAAGAGGACCGTGGAGCTATGTCTCTCTCCCACATAGACTCTCCCACTAGAATCCAGTTAAGAGATGGAGTGTGTCGATACATAATAGCACGTAACCAATAAACATAAATGAAGTATATCAATTTTGAAAGTTATAGTTTTTTATTTTTAACACAAATTTGAAGACTCTGCTTCAGGTTCAGATGTGCCAGCGTTATTCAATAACTCTGTAGTGGATTAGGAAATTAGGTTACACAATTTCATGTATCCATATTAGATACGGATATGGTGGAACCAGATCAGCTCTATCAATCAGGTCCACTATCTTTGACATAGCACTAATAATCAATATCTACAGATAATGTTCTTAACCAATATAATAGCTATCCTTATCATACAATTATTTGGTATAAATACCGTTGATATTTTTTCCAATTATGAAGAGATCATACTTATAATAACTTTGAATAAAAGAGTTTTAAAAGTATTCTTTTGTTTTTTTATTTTTTTTTTATAAATCAAACTACCCTTGATTTATTACAAACTCCATGATTTTCTTTATTAGATCTGGAACAATTGATGAGGTGGGATCTAAACCAGACTTCAACAAAGTTTCAAGAATTGGCCTGGTTTTAGTCAGCTGCTGCACCTTCATCTTTATCTTCGTCATCTACTGCTTCTTTTCGAGCATTTTACTGTAGATGGTTGTATCTACGGTTTCATCCAAAATGAACTTGAAGTCCTGGTCGAAGGCAGCAGCACCAAAACTTTCTTTGCTTTCTTGACCGGCAAAGCAATAGCAGCTTCATCTTCACTGGAGTGAGACACTGTATTCACTATATTGGTACTTACAGGCGCTTCATTGAAAGTAAACCCAACGTGCCTTCTCTCATCTTCTTCATCTTCTACAGTCTCTTCCACTTCAGAATCCTGGGCACCGAGACCCACACGACGATCCTAAAAATACGCTTCCAATTCATATTAATAATGAAAGACCTCTTTAACCATTTCTAATGTAAGTGAGATATTAATAACTTAATCTGTACCCACTTTTATTTTTTACAACGTACTTTCGAATTCTTTTGAACCAGTAGCCTTAGTTTCTCCCTTTGCGCCGTTTCCATTTTGTAAAAAAAAATAAACCTGCTTAACTGTGATCGGCCATGTATTTCTTCATTCGTGTACGAATGTCTTCCATCGTACGGTAAGTTACCTTTTTTTCACAAAAATGATCTAGACACCTTAAGGCTAATTTTCTCTTGGACATATGAACTCTATATGAGCCTTTTTGGTTTTTGGTTGGTGTGAGAAGGTTCACGTTTTTTCTGTTATTACCCAAAAGGAAAACAGGAAGGCGGGAATCTGATGACAAATTATCCTCGCCTGCTACAGTAGTTTCCCACTTAACTTGAGCCTTCTTTGTTTTCGTAGCTGTGTTGCGCTCGGAAGGTGTCTTCTCTGGTTTAGAAGATGTCTTTAATGGCTTGACGTCTTTTGGTTTGATGATTCTTGGCTTTGGCTTAGGCTTGACAGGTGTTTGCTTAGAATTTGTAGTACGCTTGGTCATTTTAATAGTATTAAAAGAGTCTATTATTGATCCAGGTTCAAACTTTCTTCTTTTATACTTGTAAGGTAGACACAAGCAACCTATGACTGACCTGATATTACATTGGGCTATCAGTAACGGGTGTCATATTGGTTGGAAACTTGCCCAATTGGTTCTATGTCTTTGTTCCCCACTTTTCTATCTTTTCTAAAATTGATACGACTTATTTAACAATTTTCTTAGGGACAGCCAAAGTGCACGTAGTCATAGCCTAGGATCGGGTACCTTTTGGCTGTCCCTAAGAGATCACGTGAAAAAATGGCTGTCCCTAAGGCACAGTAAACCCTGTCAAAATAAAACAACTTCTACTTTCTAATTTTTTCTAAAAATAAAATTGAATACCGACTTAAAACTTTTTTGAGGTGTCTGCTCCTTTGCCAACATTACCACCTAATGCTACCAAGGAAATCACCACCGATCTTATTAAAAACTACGCCCTCGAAAACAATTTTGAATTGACTAAAGTTCGCTCTTCAGAAACCAGGATTTATTTTCAATGTAAAAGACGCGGTGTTTACCGCAACACTCGTGAATTAGCCGAAGCTAATCGTAAGCGTCAAAAGGACAGTTGCAAATGTAACTGCTCTTATTACATTAAAGTAAAAACAACCAAGGATGGAGGTTTTTTCTACACTCAACCTACCGGGGATGAACATTTTCATAGTCACCCACTCAGTGCAGAAAATGTTTTTTTGAGCAGTAATGGAAGAAAGAACAAGCTCCATTCTGACGATGTTAAAAAAATTCAAAAGGGTATAGAGCAGGAAGTACCAACAAAGTTGATCCAAAAATTGATCAGCGCTGAAAGTGGCGTCAATAAGCTGACAGTTCATGATATCAACAATTTAAGATACAAAAATACGGATCGTGTGAACCTTCGGTCTGACAATGGAGCTAAATTGCTCATCCACCACATCGAGAGTAAAGGCTATAACACTGCATACATATGTGATCCTATATCTAGAAACCTTGATGGATTATTTTTCACCAATGATACATTGGTTGCGAGAGCTAAGCGTTTTTCTGAGGTTGTTGTTATCGATGCAACATACAATACGAATGATTTAAAAATGCCTCTGATTTCAGCTTTCGTTGTCAGTAACTTGGGGAAGAATACCCTTAAAACCTTCCTTATTGCTTTTGCATGGGTTGCTAATGAAAAGGAGGAGATGTACAATTGGTTCGTTAAAACATTAAAAGACGTCCACCATTATTCATCCGAGACGATCTTTGTCACTGACAAATGTATTGCATTGATGAATCAACTTGATAATCATTTCCCTGACAACAAGAAGTTGTTGTGTACTTGGCATTTAATCCAAAATTTAGGCAACAATGCCACCCTGAAATATTTTAACAACTCAAATATCTGCAGCGAATTGAAAAATAAAGTTTTCGCTATGATGACTTGTTCTACATCTGAACGATACAATGTTTTGAAACAACATGTTGATGAAATTCTTTCGAACACCAACAACTTTACCAATGCTGAAATGCTGCAAAAGTTCAATACGTATTACACTAACGAATGGGTGAAATATACCGAAAGATGGGCAGGTCATATCACCTCAAAGTTGAAACACTTTGGTTGCGTTACAACGCAAAGGGCTGACAGTGGACATAGTATTGTCAAAAAGGGAATGTTTTTCCTTCAACCTCTTGATTTAGCTTTCAGCACCATTGACAGTAATCTGAGCAATTTTGAAAGAGGATATAAGGACATTGAAAATGGGGAAAAATATAAGGTGGATGTTCGCGTTTCTTTGGAGCCTCGTTTGGCCCATTTGATTGGGAAAGTAACTCACCGTGCGTTTGTTTTCCTCCGTACTGAAATTTTAAGAAAATCGGTTGACATTTCCAGTCCATGCAGTTATCAATGTGGACTAAATTATGGTCTCCCTTGCTTTCACGACTTGCAACGTTTGGAAAAAATTAAAATGGAAAACATTCCAAGCAGATGGTGGTTTGAACGCCTACAAAGTTCAATCCGTTATGAAGAATTTTCTGTTGAAGCTGAAATATTAGAAGTAATCCAGCAACCTTGGGATGACTTTCTGGCAAAAGTCGAACAAACGTTTAGATCATTCGATGGAAATTCCTAAAGTATCTCCCAGTTCATACGGGCTATAGAGAGTGTGATGAATATTATGATTGAAGATGAAACATGGGTGGACGAACTATCTTTACGTCTTCACTCAAATGACGACGTTAAGTCACTTGGTAGGCCCAAGAAGACGGTGAGGCTCAGTGCTTTCAAAAAGGGTCACGCCAAGAAAACAGCAAGTAACCTTGCAATCCACAAAGTCGAATTGGAGAATGACGACGATGAAGAAGTTTGGGAGGTGAAGGGCCTGAATAGAAAAGCTGATGAGTGGGTCGGGATGCCTGAGAGAGCGAAGAGGCGAAAGGTTGATTTGGCTGAAGAGAATGAGAACTTCTCGAAGTTACATTCGTCAATCGACAAATCGAATGTGAAAGCCGTATATGATCCCGCTGGAGACGGTTATTGTGGTTTTAGGGCAATAGCCTTTTTGCATTACGGTGACGAGAACAAATTCCAACTCGTGAAAAAGGATATGTTGCTGGCACTTCAAAAGAACAAGGAATATTATGCAAATATTCTTGGCCAAAATGTCGTTGAGTTAAAGGTTACGATAAGCAGGGGATTAAAAGATGCAGCAGAATCAGCAATCTGGTTTAAAAGCTCAGGTTGTGCTCAAGTTGTTGCTGATGCGTACAATATTCCTGTTTGCGTCTATAACTGACCCCTGGCTACATCTCGCCTGGACAATCCTTTAACGTTTCTTCCGGTGAGTATGCCTGTGAGACCCAAGGTTAACGTGCAGCCATACTTGCTGCAAAACGTGGAAAACAAGCACTGGTTGGCCTTAAAGTTTGGTCTTTTGCAAACAAAGTATCCACCTGTAACTCACCTGTATTTTAACATCGATGATTCGTACGACACTCTGTTTAAGACGACTTGGAACCTCTTCGGACAATTCCCTAAGTTTAGATCTTCAGATAAATGAAAGGGTGAGCCAGAGATGATTCTGTCGTATTTGGGTACGATTCACTTAAGAATAATTAAGCAAATCGTTTAAATAAATAAACTATGAAATTAAAACAACCTTTTATGTTGCATATCAGCATACGCTTGTATACTGCTATACAACTTCTCCTACTTCGAGTACATACTTCTATATAAAAGATTGCATGATTGGCATAAATACGATATACGAATGACAGTTGGATACAGAATGCTCTACCACTGAGTTACGATATCACCGATCGAGAAGAGAAACTTCTCAGATCAATCAAGAATTATAAGAAAGAGAAACTTAATATTAATAGTTCTCTCAATGGATTAGCTACCCAGAGAGAGAATAGAACAGCTATTAATATAAATGGTTCATTTACTTATATATTGATATAATTATACTGCTGATAAAGAGTATAAAGAAATAGGGTATGAATTAATGGATACCTAGCTTCTACAACCAAATATACAAATATCGATAAGACATTTTATATTTGGGATCGTAATTTATTCATTACAAAGATAATGAATAAATGATCAACTATTATGTTCTATTGTCAATTACACTTGACAAACAAGTATTCATCTTTTACAGTAACCGTTGCATGATCTGATAAATAAGTGTCTCGTAATACTAAAGATTTATTAGAATACTCATGCTCCCGATCCACTGATATGGGACAACGTTATCTGGAAACAATTTTAGCGAGTAGTATCTATTTAACCCAAGGCGGGAAACAAAGTATAGATCTATTCCAAAACCAGAAAGGTTGACTAATCATTAAAACTCAGGAGAGTTGTGCAATATAAAAAGGATCAATTATTTCATAGCAGCAGAGTTCTTTTAGTCTATTTTTTACCTCTAATAAAAATATACTTTTATCTCATTACTTTTCTATGTAATATTTTGTCAAATACCACAAATGTAACCGATCGAATGATTCGTGCTGGAGATTTCAATATAATTGTAACGCCCCAGACAAAACAAAACTATGAAACCATCTCGAAAAAAAAATTTAAAATCGGCCATCTAATCTACGGTAGATTTTTTGCAAAATCAATGGTACGTACATTGATGACTTAAATGCGAATTATACTGTTTAAAAATGAGGTCTATACGATTCATTTACAAGCTACCATTAACCTCTTTATATTACATTTTAACAAACTAATAAAGATTCCGCTTATCAATAATTAAGCGTTTATGAATTATCACTGTTCACTTATGATTTATATGTAATACATAATCTTATGTAATAATCAACTATGTCATATGATTAGCTTAAACGTGGTCACATCGGATAGAAAAAATGCCACCGGGAAGGCTAATTAGCCTTGACTGTGGCCGGACTTTTTTTTTTCTTTACTTTCCTTTCTCCGTTATTTTCTTCTTTTTTTTAGTTCATTTTTTTATTTCTTTTCTTTAACCCATTGAAAATATATCTTCGAATATATTGTTATCTCTGTTTGATTCCAACCCTCGTGGTAAGATTAGGCTGTTTTTTTGGGACCTTTAGTAGGTTCTCTAAAATAAATTATTACTCTCATAAATTGATCTGTGGATTGATTTGATTTTGAAGATTTGATCATTTTTTCTTCAAACAAATGAGCAGAAAAGGGAAAATTAATGACATAAACGATATTAAAGATATATTATAATACTATAAGACTGTTTGATGGTACTGACAGCCCCATGTATGGATTGATAGGATTAGCTTCACAGGTACCTAAAGATTTGTTAGAATGTCAAACATCCTTTTAAAAATAACTTAAGCGATGATGGTTTCCAGCCCCTCATGCCGACTAGAAAAAGAACAAGTCTGCGTTATTGTCAATTTAAATGCATGTGAAAGTTTTATTAATTATTTGAACAATTCTCAATTATAGTTCGAGATAGTACAGAAAATATTGGAACTCGAAAAAGTTCAAAGGCAAAGGCAAGGTTGTAAATACTAGAGTTGCTTCCACTTTTGGTTTGCAAAACATGTATGAAAACTTAAATTATGCTGACACAAATATAGAGATAGAGAGTTCATTAAATATAACTCTCGATCTTAGCAGTGACAGTTTTGTAAAATATATCACCACAAAATATGACGCTGGTGAGTCAAGTAGACAAACTGGCAATACAGACAATCCTGTTTCATTGGCAAAAATTATATGATTTAGTCAATACACTATTTTCATAAATTATTCGCACAGTCTAAGAAAAAAATAGCTCATTTTTTTCAATTTCCGCACACATTTTTTTTTATTTTTTGCTCACTTTCAGAAAAATATTTTGCTCAGCTCCAGATATTTTTTTTCTGCGAAATATTTTAGAGGGGGTCTTTATTTAAACAGGTTTCGAATTTTGTTTCTGAATAATGGCAGAATCCCTTTAAATCGCTTAATAAACATTCTGACATGCTTCGGCAATTCTATTGTTCAGTGTTTCGGCCTCTAAAAGCTTCTCCCGTTTTAATTTACTCTTAACAACGGACCAAAATTGTTCGATAGGGTTGAGCTCAGAAGAATATGGTCGAAGATAAACACAGTCATACCCAAGACTTTCGATAAACTTTCTAATATTAGGGGGTTTCATTAACTGTTTCTCATTCTCATAATTTAATCAGGTTTTTTTAAACATTGGAACATGAAATCATATTGGGCGCATCTTTTTTTTTATAAGTAAGATAGTTAAAGTCTTGAATCTGATGATTTTGTCTTGGATAATTGATGTTTCGTTGTAAAAAGAAACGATGTTGTGGCCAATGGCTAAGTCTTATTCTAGTGATATATACACACTATATATCCAGCCTATAATATACTTGACATTTAATAACAAACAACCCAGCACGGAAACATGAAACATTCACTTAAACATGAAATATTGATTTCAACACGAAACATTCACTTCCCGCACAACAATCTATCTTGTAAAAAGAGTCCCCTTTTCCATTTAGTAAAAAGATAACTAGTTTTAGTCTCAAATAATTTAACCGTTTATTTCTTGGAATATTTCATTTTTTTATTTGAATTCTTATACGCTATCTTTTTATTAAAATTTTTTTTTCATCATGTCTACAGCCGACTCTACTGCTTCTACTACCGCTCTTACCCCTGCTATGAACCAGACTTCTGTCAATTCTTACCAGAATGATACGGAGATGGAGAACTGTACGACTACGACACCGGTTGTCAATGAACCCTTTGATTTTGGAAAGAATATCCAACTACTCATCAGCCGTACCCATGCAAAGGTCCAGGAGGGCTACCCTACCAGTGGTACCTACATTCAAGAACTGAAGGACTTACGTGCTTCAATTACTGAGCTCCAAGCTCTGAAGTTGGTAATCCAACCTAGCAATGCCACTACCATCGTATCTAATCCTATCGCTGCCGTCAAGAATACTGACGATCGTCATGTCCCTTCCCATGTACCCTATTTTCAGTGGTCTGGAGCTGTAACTGATACTACCAAGCCTGTTTTCCCTAGCTTCAAAGCTTGTATGAATTGTTTCGAGGATGTTTTGCATGCCTATCAATTGGACCTGAACCAACATGGACTTCGTTTACTAATCATTTGCCTACCTACTGCCATGAGAGATTGGATGCAAGCGGCCATCCAGGGTAAGAAGAACCTTCCTTGGGAAGACTATCGTGAGGCCTTATCTTTGGAGTATGGTGTCACCCAGGATGCTGAACAAGAGGTCAACACCAATGCTCTCCTCTTGGTACGTATGGACCCTCAAGAGTCGATCGAAGTCTTTCATTGAACATTTTCAACGATTGCACCGCCTTTCCGGTCTGACAGATCCTGCGATCCCCTGTACCAGGTTTATCTCTGCTCTTCCTCTGATACTTGCGGACCGTGTCACTCTGGCCTTAGCAACCGCTCCTAGGGACACAAAACGCAATCTTACGTATGTGATGTCGCTCACCAGAGACCTTAGCAATCAATTTGCTCACCGTGATGCTGCCAACGACGACGCCCGTCCTACTCCTATGCCTTTGGGAAGTGCCGCCTCCAAATACACTTACAGTACTCCCAGGACAAACTTGAACCATGCTGCCCGCCATCAACGACGTGTTCGTGGACCCTTTTTTTCTGGTGCCATGTACTGCTCTCATCATGGTACTTCTGGCCATAACACTCCCGATTGCCGTGCCACCAACAACCACAACAACAACATGTCTCGTCCTACTCGTAATTGTTACACCTGTGCCGCTGAGTGGACACCTAGCCATCGTTGTCCTAATGCTAGGAGTAGAAACAATGTCCGTTTTTACTCAGCTCCCACCACAGCTCCCACTACTGGTGCGCCTGAACAGCCAGTTACCACTCCTCACATGCACGAACTGCCATGCACATGAACCTTAACCATCCAGATGCTCATCATCTTCCTTCCTCTCAACGTTCGCCTCCCAAGAGCCACGTTGACGAAGCACCTACTCTTTCATTTCCATTCGTCCAAGACGAGGATCTCCCATCTCTTCAACCATTCCACGGTAAGTCTAACATTACCATCAATGACGAGCCTGCTTCTCTCAATGACCGTACTAATTCTATCATTATTCCTGTCACTATTCAGAACTATAAATGCTGGGCCTATGTTGACTCCGGTTCGAACTTCTCCTCCTTGAAGCCTTCTTTAGCTTCCAAATTGGGTCTCACACCCTCTTTACCTACTCCTATTGCATTAAATAAATCATCTTTGTTACAATCTAAAAATCACACTATTTCTTTGGGCGATGCTAATAGCTCCATCGAGCGTATCGGTTTTATTGACAACGTTCATCTATTCTATAATAATCTTCACATTCATCATACCTTCGAAGTCTTCAATCTGAATAGTGAAGCTGATGTTTGCATTGGCACCGACCACATGTCTAAAATGAACATTAACATTACTGGGCTCACTACTACATGGGACGAACATGTTGTGTTTTAAGGTAAGGTTTAAATTATAAAAAGACTATATGAGTAGTTTGAGACTGTTTATAAGATTGTCCTTTATTAATAAATGAAATGTACGAGTATTAATATAAAAGACTGTCTGCTGTGTTCATATCTCTAGTGCTATCTTGAAGTTATCATTGATTAACCAAAAATGTATACGATTATTACATAGTCACTAATTTAGTCTTGTTCTAATAAATGTTAATTCTTCTTAACTCTCTTTGCTTTAAACTAAATTTTAAGTATTTCTCAGACGTACTAAATTAGACTTGTGATGTAATATCCTTATAGTTCTTACTATGACATTTATTGTTAAGCTTATATCACAAATGGTATCAGCATGGATAAACCTTTGTTAGCTCTAATATGGCTATAGCCTTGCTAGGTCACCACAAGTCAGATCATCACACTTCAGGATGTTGTATTCTAAGATTAAGGCCGTCAACAAAGCCAAACATTCCTTCTAACACATGTTTCTCAAAGTCAGCGATGTTTGAATATATCAAGACTTCGGTAGCTAAGGTAGTTTAACTATTATCAATTATGTTTCTTTTATTCGTACTAAAAACCATTATCTTTATATGCACATTAGCAACCCACTCCTACTTCTGAAAATGGCAAAGGCACCCGTTCCCAGAAGCGTAAAAGAGCCGAATGAATAAACTTTTTTGACGAATATCATCCATATATCTCATATCTATTATCTGAATATTATTAGCGTTTATCAGAAACAAAGTATTTAATAGAGATGTGATATTATTATTTTTTTGGAGTTAATTCTATTTTAATTCGGGGGTAGGGGGTCGAATTAACTTCAAAAATTTATGGTTAATTCCACGTTACACAACCCGAAAAATTAAGTCTATTCTATTTAATTCTATTTTGCACTTTGGAAGTCATCCATTAAGGGATATATATACTAAATGTAAAGATATAGGTGATGTGATAAATATAATAATAAATATGATGATGAATAATATAAACAGGTTATCGATATGAAATAGGTGAACCCGAAGTGGTGTTATGTTGTATATAATAAAGTGGTGTTATTCAGCTTTGACCTTTTCCGATTCATATGATTATTCTTGAGTGGTACAAATCGTCTTTTCTGGTTCTTGGTCTTCTTGAGCCTAAGCTCGATTTCTAGAGGCATGTCTACGTCAAGGTCCGGACTTCGGGTCGGACCAACCCGGCTAGTCACGTGATTCTTACAAACATTAGCTGGCCCTATGGCCATAGGTGTGGTTATTTGTCTCAAATCTGATTTAATTAATGGGATTTTTTGGGAGCGCCGTAGGCGCTTCCAAAAAAAAAACTTATCCTGTATGATCTCATTTTTAACAGGACTACATTGAATATAAATAAAGGTTTAAAACTGATAGTTTATTACATTGTTTGAGAAGTACAAAAATTTCTATTCATCTTGCCCTTGCATGAAGAGCTGTTACACTTCTTACATGTCCTTGGTTTTCTTTCTTTCGGTGGAAGAATGTAAAAATTTCCGCGATTTGTAGTAGTAACAGCGGTAGTAGTTGCAGACGTAAAATTATTTTGTAATCGAGGAATTTGCATTCTAGGACTATTATGAGGCTGTTGGAATGCGAAAGAACTACTACTGTCGATTGGTGTCATAAGGGTTGGAGCAATGATTCTAGCTGGCCTGGTAATGTGGGGAGTTCGCAAAGAGCTGATAATAACAGGAACATTCAGATCATTACTGATAACGTTACTGCTAAATTCACTTGACCCCAAATGGGTGAAAGTATTGGGTCTTTGAGCATTTACCAAACGTGATTCATGTCGAATGTTGCTACGCATCATATCACACTGAGCCTGGTTAACCAAAATGGTATCTCTGTATTTACTGTCATCCTTTTTTTTGTTGTAATATAATATAAGGTGTTCAGGACACTTGTAAAATACAGAGACACCATCTACTCTTTCAGACCATGCTTTACATATTGCTACCCAGGTGAAATAATTGTTTAGATTTTGAGCTGAGAAATGATTATTGACAAGTTCATTGTACAATTTATACTCCTCATATGTGTGTACGGGAGTCAATGCAAATCTAATTCCTTGTCTACTAGCCAGATAATGATACTTATTGTACCTGGTTGATCTCAATGCATCTGAAAATACTTGCGGATTCGTGTTGTTATGTGGCATAAAATTCAACATCAGCATCTTTACGGTAGGCAGTTTTACTGCAACAAGCGAGCTCACTTCCAAAACATCTACAATATTGTTAGTTACCAGTAATCAACTTAAGAAAAACTTAATTATAAAACTGCGACTAATTACCTTGGGTCAATACTTGTAAATTAAAATCTTTTCCGTCATTGATAAGTTTTCTTCCTTGTGACAATAATCCAGAATCTTGTCTCAAAGGTAAGAGGTAACTGAAAGTATCTATAACCTCCTGAGAAACAGGGCATATTCCAAATTGTTCGTTCGAATCAACAAGATGGTGAGAGTTACCGTAAGAGTCAGCATATGAAGGAATAAATTCTTGATCAACATCAGCACGTAACGTATTCAGAGCTTGAACAAGCCATGGGTTATAATGGCTTCGATGCTCGATATTGAATCTATTTCTGCTTCCAACCTAGTTATATACTTAATTAATTACTCACTGAATCAAATTTTGTAGCTCTGGACTTACAGAAATGTTGTGGCGCAGACGATAGTCAGCGAGAGCACAATCAGCCAAAAATGGACCTGCATTGAAAGAACTAAACTTTCGAATAATATTTTGGTGGATACCACCTTCAACGGAGTTTGTGCCTCTCGTACAACGATACACAGGCAATCCGCGCGAATCTCTTTTGACCAAATAGTAGAATGAAATTCCAGGAGGATCGCTGGCATGGCCTTTTCTGATTGCCTCCAAAACGGCTTTGGCTTGCTTCCAGCCCTGTCTGTCAAAAAGCGGGAATCCTGTAACAGCGCACTTAATGTGGCCGTAAACATTGAAAAGATTATCGACCACTGGCAAAAGAACATCAGGACTTGGTACGTATCTACGTACTCGCTTGAGTACCCAGTCCGGCTTGATTAACATTGCCTTGTCCCAAGTAATGTCTACTGATTCAAGATATTCTTCTACGGCTCTCTTGTCCTCTTCATCGTAAAGGAATATTGCATCCCTTAGAACTCGAGCAAACTCCTTAGACAAACCATGTCTCTTTGATACTTTTATCATATCCATTAAATGGAATATGTCTTTTAAAACACGAGTCGGAAGAGTGTTCGACATATTGTCATCGTTGCTTTCTTCTTGATCGATATTGACATCCAAAAGTGTATCAACGTCAGTATTGTTATTTTGCTCTACAAAGTTGTAAATTTCTTCATCATCCCTTTCTTCATCCTCACTTTGATCATCAACTACCATATCCAAATCTGCTTAAAACAAATATTATGATGAATAAAAAAAAATCTATATAAATAAATCTACCTACCAACTAAAATAGGAATATCATCACTAATAATTTGAGCCTGGTTGAAATTATTAATAGGCGTATCTTCAGAATTCTGTGAGGATGACAGCGGTACTTCAGCAGAAGGTGGTTTTGCTGACTTCAGCCTTAACTGCTTGATATCAATAACAATTTTAGTCGATGTTCCATTGTCAACACATTTTTTTTCCAAAACTTCTAGACTACACTTTTCCGTTTCGAAACCATGAACCATAGAAAAAGGATTGACTGTGATAATTGGGAAATAAAAAGGTAGAAAATAAAAGATAAAAATAAACAAGTAAAGAAATGAGACTCTTTAATCCTTTATTATAAGTTGGAGAGTTTGTCATGATAAAAATAGAGGTCCTTTTTATATTCAATTATTACTTCAAGATTTTTCCTGCGCAGATCGAATTGACTATTTACCCGCAAACTGGGAAATGGTAGAATTAGATTTAGAAATCAGTTACATATGAAACATAGCTTATTGTTATATACAAGGAGCTAGTTGACCCATATCCGGCACTTCTAGAGCATTATAGTTTATCCATTCAATGACAGGGTCCTTGATTGGATTACTAAAATAAATTTATGAGAAACTAGAAGATTCGGCAGCTACTCGACCAATCCAGGAACGATTATGAAATCTGATCTCAGTTTGACATATGAGGTAGCTGGTACTGTGTCGTACCAATAGGAATGTATTCGCAATATGTTACTTATAATACATAGGTTATATGTATTATAATTGAGTGACAAGATAAGAGTAATTATATTCGTGGAATTAGGCGTCAAATACGACATTGACGATAGTAGCCGGTACCATTATATCCGTGATCTCGATAATAGCAATATTTCTTTTTCTGAACTTTCTTTGTCTTTCCTGAATAGTTGCAGAACCTATATAAGAACAGTTAATTATGATATAACAACTTTAGATGCGATTAATTAATACCTTCAATGTTGTTACTATTCCATTGGACCGTATCTTTGGAGCAAATGGATCCACGTGCCAAAATTGTTTTTGATGACCCAGCATGAACACTCACAAATGTCCCAACTTGTGGCTCACCTACAATTGCCAATCCAATTGTTGGTAAATGTTTTACCTTTTCATATATTTACAACGAAACGTACGCATCAGCAGCAGCATACTTTATTTGATCCTCGCTGAGGCACGCTTCCTCCCAATTTCCAGACCGGATACGATCATCCTTGTTCAATTGTCGACTGAGAACAGCCTTGCAAACGTCGGCTAGACTCAAATTAGCCCGGGCGACAACATCCTTGTCCTTGCAAAGAGTGCTAATTTCCAAAGAGCCAAGACAAACAAAATCACCATGAAAATCTCGTTGGATCTTTTTAAAATCACCGCCGATTGACTTTCCAATTTTTGTTATGGACCTTGTCAACAGAAGAGTTTTCAAAGATGCAGGAAGAATTTTTAAACCAGAAGTGGGATCGACATCGAAATGTTTAGTCTGAATGATGAAAACCTTTTTCTGATAAGCAATTTGTATAATGGCAACTTTTCCTTGATAAGACGGTCTGATGGTATAATACCACTCGCAATCAAAACCAATATTTACTCTGGTTCTTCTATCATGAATATCATTTAAAATTGTTTGCATAAAAAAGTCAATGGAATCAATGCTACTTAAACATTCAACTGTAACATCCGAAGGGATTTCATACACGGGTAGTTCGTGTTCTTGATCAGCTACTTCGACCGTTACATCATCAACATGTTTCACATCAATTATCAAGAAGGGAAAATGTCTTCAAAGAGCTTCTGATCGCCAACGACATTGTCTGTAAACACTATTTTTGGCATGGTATGACCATATAGCTCGTACGACCTCTTGAGAGCGCACAACAATGGTTTGACATGTGCGTGACCTTTTGTCGGTACAAAAGCCATTGCACGTACTTCTTCATACTCGTTACAAACGGTATACAATGCTTGGAATACAGGCTTACCACCAACTTTGGCTATCTTTTTGATAATTTTAAAAGAATGGTCTACCTTAAGAATTTCACCATCCTTTACCATGGTCTCACGTTCCATTTTTGAGCGCAGCAAAGTAATGAATGATGTGTACACATGGCTGATATACTTGGAGCTAGGACATACGCCACCATATCTCATTTTATCGCTGTATGCGGAAAACTTTTCGACTGTTGAGGAGCCAAAAAATCCGTGAATAGTGCTGTTATTAAAATATTTAACGGCGTCCAAGTACTGTAACTCCAAGGTGTCATGTTTGAGATGATGCAGCTCTTCTAAAATCTTACTCATACGATGAGGTCCAATTGAATTCTGAAAAAGTGCTCTCATAAAATTCATGAGCATCTTTGAAATGCCTGATTTATGGGTAATAAATGCGGGAAAATCAGCTTGGCATCTCAAAGGTAATTGCCTAACAATCGAGTCGTCGTAGCCGTTAAAAGTATGCTTTGGAGATCCAGGTGGTGCACTGCAGACATATCGTTTTGACATAAGATAATATGAACTAAAAATGAAATTCAATTAAAACATTTTCTCCTCATAATTACTACCAGATCACTTACTCTTCGAAATCAATTATTTTTCGGGCACGAGTCTTGGTGTTAAACCCATTCGATTTAATTTCACAATTGCATTTTTGGCATTTCAATTTTTCTTGGGCATTCATGAAATATTCAGGAAGCCATAAGAAAACTCGAGGGATGTACAAATTGTTGACATCCGAACTTTCTTTAAGTGAGAAAGACGGCATGGGTTGGTAGACCCAGAAAGTTTTATTTCGGTATGGTAGTGGTGGGTTTTCAATTGTACAGCCTTTATATTCTTCCTGGAGTCTTCTTAAATATTTATTGATGACACTTTCCTCATTTGAGTCAGTATCGTCACTGTTATTGTTGCTTCCAAAAAAAATATTATCACTATTTTCATCATCATCATTGTCATCATCATCAACTTCGTCTTCGCTATCAACGTCAAGCAAATCGTCATCCATTTCCTCGTCAAAACTATATTGAAATAATTAAGATATTTTATTCTACTAATCCCAAAAAAAAAACTTTTATTACCTTGACTCATCTTGCTGAACCTGGTCAATCAAATAATTGGTGGAATTGTCATTATTTTGGTCTTCAATCATTTCAGGTGAAAGTTGCATATTTGACATTACTGATCCAATCCCTATTTGATCATTGTTACTGCCACTTGCAGTCTCCGATATCTTAAATTAACGTCAATAATAAATCCCATATAAAAAGAGTAATAGACTCACATCAGAAACTTTTGATCGATCTATAGAGGTAAAATTGCTTAAGGTAGTCTGTACAGTTCTAATGGTGTCTCGCATTTTAAAAGGTCTTCCTACACCAATAGTTCCTGGTTGGTTCTTTTGGCCTGAAGGTCTACCTCTCTTTTTTTTGTCAGTCCTCAAGAGAACGCTTTCGGATTCAGTAGAAATAAAGTCTCGTTTAGGACCCATTTAAAATAAAACTTTGAAAATAATGTAAAGAAGTACTGAAAGTTTTTGTTCCTTTGTTTTTATTTATAACCCTTCAAAGCGGAATAACAAACTAATTAACAACAGGCCCAGCTATCAAATTTTTCGGGCCGAAAAATTGGCCAATGAAACTTCCTACTTATGCTCAAATTCAGCCAACAGAATGCTCTACTTATGGTCTATCCCAGAGTTTTGATTGGACACACCCATGGCCAGAATGCCGACAGTAGTAGGTGTACCCGTCCCCTTTTTGATAGGTGCAACAGATGAAATGGAACTCTCATAAATGGCCAATAAATCCATTTTTTTTTTTTCACACGGAATTAAGAAAAAAAAAAGAGCTTTTTTTTTATTCAAGGAAAAAAAAATTTATGGGAGGGGGCAAGTGTAGAAAAAAAGATTGTATAATAGAAAACAAGCATAAATAAATAGAAGAAAAAAAAAAGGGGGGGGATGTGTGAGAAGATTGAGAGTGAGAGACATAGAGAACGTAGTACAGAATAAAAAAGAAAAAGGTATAAAAATGACAAAAAATGGGGAGTGTTTGATTTACATGCCCATTTGATACATTCTTTCAAGAGCCTGTTTTTGCAAGACAGACTCTTGGAATTTTCTCAATTGTTCATTTTCGCTCATCATGCGTTCTAATTCAGCCAATAAAGAAGTCTGGTTTCTTTTCAAGTGTTGCAAATGTTGGACAGCTAAAAAAGTAAAAAAAAAGGGGGGGAATGTTAGTGATGGATAAAGCTAAAAAGAGAGAGAGAGAGAGACTTACTGCGGTGTAATAAAGCGGCTTTGCTCATCTTCTTGTTGACACAACCAGGCAAATGCTGACGTAACTCCTCAAAACCATCCTTGATCTGAGCACGTCTCTTTTGTTCAGACTGGATATGGATTTGACGACGGACCTCTTGGGCAGTCACGCCATCGGCATCTTCGTCCAAATCTGAGCTGCTGCTACTACAATTGGTCAAACTAGGTTCTCCTGTTGTTCCTTCTTCCTTGGTTCGCTTGCGTTTCTTATTGTTGGACGACCCATTCTCGTATGTCTCTTTGGAATATTGATGAAACTCGGGTAAAAAGGATTCGGGTAACTTGTTCACATGAGCAATCTTTTCAGTGATGCTGGCATGATGATGAGGGGATAACAAGGGCGTGGGCGAAAGGCGAGAAGACATGGATTCAGGGCTGGAGGATCCTTGTTGCTGTTGTGGTTGTTGTTGTCCTTCAATAGGGTACAACTCGTAACTAGCAGGTGTCATCATGATTGGGTTGCTCGTATCTAATCCATTGTTGTCTCCATAGTAACCAAAAGCTACAAAAAGTGACGTCATGTATCAGCATATTATTAATTATTTTTTTTTTTAAAAAAAAAAAAGGGACGTACCTGAAGGATACAATTGCGCATCATAAGATTCAAGTTTTGCCATGGTGGAATAAGTAGTGGGCATGATGTATTCATCAAAGCCGAATTCAGTCTCAATGGTATTGTTCATCTTGTAAAAAGGAAAGTGGGTAAAAAAAAAAAGTTTTTTGTTGTTGTAAAGGAAAGTATAGTGGGTGTTGTATTGTAAAAAAAGAGAGTTGGTTGTTTAAAGAGTGATTAAACCAACTGCTGATTTTTTTATATTGTATAAAATGGTTTGTTGTTTTTTGGGTTAAAGAAGAAAAGAAAAAAAGTAAAAAAAAAAAAAAAAAGAAATAGGTTTTAACCGAATTTAATTATACATTGGGTTGTACAAAGGTTAAAATACATGTTATCGTTACTAAACAAAAATCTTGTTTTTGATCTCTTTACGTTCCTATCTTTATCCTTATGTTTTTTTTCGGTACTTTTTTTTTGAATTAAGAAATAGTCATGCTGGGAAATTGTTGTCTATAAAACTGTTGTCTAAGCAATGTCTTTTATTTTTTTTTGCAAGATGGAAGTTATATTTTGAGTAACCCTTCTGATACAACAAAAAAAAAAGTTAATTGGTTACACACTCTTTTTCTCTCCCTCCCCTTTCTATATTCATCTCCTTAATTTAAAGGAACAAAGAAAAAAATAAATTTTTAGATCTCTCTTCCTGTTTAATTAAAATAGAGTAAAATAGACTGTTCTCGGTGTCCCCTTTTCCTCTTTCCTGTAATTTTTTTTGTGTGTGTGTGTGTGTTGTGTCCACTCATAAAGCTGTCCACTTTAGGAAACACACACCCAAGAAATCAAAAAAAAAAAAAAAAAAAAAAAAAAAAACCTGCTTATTTTCTTGACCTCCCATTTCTTTGTTTCACAGATATAAAGTAGGTTCGATTGTTCTCCCAATCCTATACCATTGTGTTTTAAAGACTAGAATGCACAGACCTTTTTTTCTTATAATTGATGTTTATGAACTCAGTCTATTGTTTTTTTTTTAAACAATTATCGACTCGGTCATTTTTACCTATTCATCTAAAAAGAGAGCTTGCCTAGGCTCCTTCATCGGTACTCCTTCGTACCCAAAGCATTGTACTGTGGAAAAAGGAAATCGTAGCAGATGATATAATGTAAAGTTCATTCCATGCGTGTATCTCTCTCTTTCTCTCTTATTCTTTTAATTTTGGGTTGTATGCATGTCAAGTAAATGTAAACGATTTACCGGACCTATTGGTTTACAAAGTCATAGGAAAGTAATCTTTTTTTTTTTGACTGTCATAAACACAAATGACAACACGTAATTAACCGGTAATTGTTTTAATGTGGTACTACCGAAATTATAAGGCATTATACATACTTTTTTTTTTTTTTCGGACAAAACTTCATTTTTAGATCATCAAGTGTACGAAAAGAAAAAAAAGGCTTTCGCTTTTTAAATTATTGTAATTATAGCAACTATCGTAAGTTGCTGGCAGAAAAAGGGATTCTCTCCCTATTTTTCACGTTACAGAGATTTTATTACGCCTGAAAATCTGTACTTTTTGGAATCTACACGCCCGTCTTCAGACTCTAACAGCGGATTATGAAATATGGGGGGGGGGACAACAAACCTGACTGCGAGCCATAAAAAATAAACATTGACAAAATTTGCTTCATTGTAAGCCTTACATATATATTTATGTCAAGTGAAGTATCTGTATAAAAAAAACCTTGTCTATTTCGATAAATCAGATGTAAAAAATACATACCATAACCGTATTGCCATAATTACAATTCTATTAGATTTTCTTAAATTGATATTCCTTTCCAACATTAGGAAGAACTATGATGCAAAGCGTGTCCTACCAATGCTTGTCGGTATTGATGAGGAAGCATATGCCGAAGATATTACAGGAAAGAGAGTCAAACGAAAAGCACAAGGATGAATCAAAAAAGTTCCACTCTCATCATATATTAAAAACAACAATGGGCCGAACATTTACAATAATTAAACTGACTATGGAGCTTCCTCACCATTATTTGGCTGCAAATGACATATATGTTAGTATCGGATCAAATTGTATCTCTTTCTTGAACCTTTTCGGTGTACCTTTAGTTCCTTCTCCAACATTTTAAATACAGAATAAAAATTACACTTTATCTTTTTTTTTTTTTTCTTAACGAGTTGATTTCTACTTGATTTGTAAAACTTTTCGATCCCAAGTCAGTCAGACACCCACCTAACTAATTCGATTCTGACTTGGTTTATGGTATTTGGATACTCTTACTGTACGTTATGTAACTCGTATACAAACTTCAAGGTATATATGGGCTTGCTTTCAGCGCTAAAAAAAAATATAGAAACAATATGGGCTCATGCCCAAAATATCATTATCTTAACTACGAGAGTTAGGAGACGGGTGAATTGACTTCAATTTTTTTTTTATAATGGTTACTGTTACTGGATTTGTTGTTTCATTGGGTGTAACATAGTTACGCATGTAACTCTATCCATAGTTTCATCCCTTCAAAGTTTTTGATAGTGATAAATAAAAATTTGAATTATTTATGCCTCTATCTTCGTTAATTTTTGACTTGAATTTTACGCCAATGGAAGAGCTTATCTCATTCTTATACCATTCCAAAGGACAAAGGATACATGAGACGTGGTACAATGGCCAGAACAGACACTATTAATGCTATCAACTATGAAGAATAAAGGAAAACATAAGTAAGATTAAATGTCAAGAGGCATATATTTATCCTATTTACTGCACTCATGTGTCACACAAAGTTGCTCACCTCACCCGTCTACATTAAACAATATTTGTGTACTGCCAAAATGTACGTAAAAACACAAAATAAAACACAACCTAAGACATCTTAGATCAGCTCAATCCGGGGATAAAAATGATAAAATATATTTTTAAAGTAGGCGGATGAGGTGTTATCCATCAAACTTTTTTTTCAGAGAAGGTGGATCTTTATGCTCGTACTGATAAAATACAAATCGAGGTTTCGCATTTACTCGATATTGAGGTAGTTATTTTTTTTTTTTATGAAAAAAAAAAAAAAAAAAAGCTTAAATCTGATCTCAGTTATTCCGCAACCGACAATTTAATAATCGAAGCCACAGATGTTAACACCACTGAACTTCATGCACATAAAAAAAACATTGATGAGAATTTTCAATAAAAGGCTGAGCAAGGCTTTTGCTAAAGGGCGCGCGCGTAATACTTTGCCACCGATGTTTCATTCTTATATATGTTACGGGAAAGCTTCGCCAAAGAAATGAAACGTAAATAATAGCCTGTATAAAATCCAAAAAAGATTCATTTTTTGAATAGTGGTTGTAAATAAATATAAGCCAGGGCCATGATAATTATTGTAAATAGCTCACACATTAGGCAGGTATGTTGTATTCACTATCTATACGTAAAAATAGTACAGCCTTAAATTTTGAAGATGATGGATTTGCAATTTTATTTTCATTTCTGAGGAGCGTTTGCAGATTTCTTTTCTTATGCTTTCACACCTTTCATTAAAGCAGCCCAAAGCCGTGCGTTATTAAATTAGATATTTTTGAAGTCTTTTATGCTCGAGGCCGAAGTTGTAAACATATCAATTTAGAATATTATAAACAACGGTACACCTCTGTTTTTTTTTAGAAAGCGTATGTGTAATGTAACCTAGGGTCAATATTTATATTTTATAGACTTCAGTTTTATTGAATGATGGATGTTGAGACAATAAAAAATGGGGTAGGGATGAAATTTTTAGTTATTTTCCATAACAATACCACGTAGCCATGTTACGAGAAGCATCTGTTTGATCAATATAGGTATAATCAGAGCAACCTCTATCAGCAGCACTTCTCAAATCATTAATCGAATGATAAAAAGCGCTGGAAACAGTGACATGGCCAGTTCGGTCTTCCTTAGAAAACGTGCATTTACAGTTGCTATTGGTGTAGGTGGAGACATTATTGTCACCTTCGTTCACTTCCACCTTTACAGCTAAACCATTGATACAATCTTGCGCTTCAATGGAGTATTTATGATCAAAAGTATGACATTCGCCCCAAGGAGCATTGGGAGTACCTCCGAGAGCAACACCAGCCATAACAGCAGAGAGAAGTTGAGCAGCAGAAACAGCAACAAAGATGAGTTTAGCAGACATAGTTAGTTAAGTAGTAGTAGTAGTAGTACTAGAAAGATGGATACTACATTTTTACTCTTTAAAATACGGGTATTTATATATATATTGGTAGCCATGGCTTGGTCTTTTAAAAGATGGCTATGTTATAAGGGATTGAAGAATACACATACACTAGGTGCATGACGCATCATGTTCAAGAACAACAGTAAGCTCAGCCAATTAAAGTATCAATTTCAAATATGCACTACTTCGCCTAAATTTTTTTAAGCAAAGCCCAATTAAAGCTTACTTTGCAGTAGAAGAATATGTACCTGTTACTTTAAAGAAAGGGATGATGGCTTTTCTTTTTTCTTTTTTATTCTTTTGTATGGATTAGGCTGTACCATATTCCTCTTTCAGGATTAATTAAATAATATACACCTATGGTCATGATATTATTATTCGCATCAAGACCGGCGAAGTTACATTACAATGATTTGCAATTAAGGGGTGAAGATGGGTAAGAAGCAATTCAACTTCTGCCAATAAAATACATATTTTTTAAAATAACTTTTTTAGCGTTGTGTAATTTTACTAGTAATTTCTAAAGGGAATTTTGTGGGAATTTTTATGCTTGAGAACAAGAGGATATTATGTAAAGAATAATAACAGTCCGTTTGGTGAATAGGCAGGATGGCTCGTAAAAATGAATTTTTCTTCTACAAAGTGCTAAAGCCAATCATAACGTTGCATTGGAGTCACCTATCTCAAAGAGGCATCTGTAGCATTGTCTTTTCCCACATTTCCTTTCGTTATTTAGCTGTATCAGGTTCACTATAATAATAGCCCATAAGTTTTGCCTACATGATTAAGAAACAGTTAGTATTATGCAAATAAGCCATTCATTATATTCAACCGATAACTTATGTTTTTTAGCAACAATTTTATAATTAAAACCAACATTGGTATATGCATTCTTATTCATTTAGTCAATAATCAAACTTTTAGACAGACTTCACCGAAAGATATGCTTGTCTTTGAATTTTAGTATATAAGGAAGATCTAGATGATCTAGGTGAACATTGGAGGGATATCCACGACAAGTATTTGCATTAAGTTTATTACACTCATGAAATACCACTGACGTAAAATACTTTATTCAGTCCCTCATAAACACTCGGTCATTTAGCCTGCCTTCAGTAAATTCAAAGGGAGCCAAAAATATGAACCCTCGACGGGGAAAAAACGTTGAAGATACCGCGTACGAATTTGAAAAGCGTTGCCTTGCATTCAGCTCACACTCAATGATACTAGATGCTGCACAAAGAATTAAGGTATAATAATCGTGTGTGGCCTTAGGTTAATACCATATTTTGGCGATGACTGGAGCTTACCGCCTGTTTGGTAAGTCTAAAATTAAAAAAAGTATGTGAAAATGTTTTTCTTTATTAAACTGCATTATACATCAAAGTGGAGAAGCCTCATGTGCAGCTTTCGCTTGACGTAAGAATGTCGACAGCGCGGTTGGTTTGTGGCTGGGGGCCTTGGTAATTGAAGCAGGTGGGGAAGACTCTTACCGGGTGGGACACCACTACAAAGCCGTCCCAGTCAGCAAGTATTAAGCGCGTTTGCTGTGTATTAAGCGTGTGCCACTATAAAAAAATTACAATGCTTGCTCTGTTTAGGGATTATCATTGACTCTTCCCGTGTATTACTTGGAGCATAAGTATATCACAAAGACACCATTTGTCTCTAAAATACGATCCTTACTGCGAAAATAAAAGAAAAAGTGTTGTTCTCACATTAAAAAAATTTGATTAAAACAGTGAACACTATAAAACTGTCTTTTGTCAGAGAAGGTGGAGCTTTTGTATGCTCATATTCAATGAGATTTTTTGCATACTCACCATTGAGTTACTTTTGGTTGGAACTGATCTTAGTTATTCGACAGTTGATAAATTGGAAATGGATGCCGCGGATAAGAGCATGAAATTATATGCATGTAATCAAGTGATTAGAATGACTAAAAAATGACAGCTGAACACAAACTGTATAGACCTTTTTTCCCATGAGTAGTGGCTATTTACTTTAATTTATGATGCTACTAATAAACACATGGATCATGATACACTAAGAAAAAGACGGGAGAGGAGTGATACAAAGTATATGATAACTTATCTCAAGATAAAAGTTTACGTATTACGGTTATTTGACACAGCCATTGCTGTAATTAACATGAGAACCATCTATTTTACAGTGAGTACATATCCGTTTGATTTAAATCACATTTCACAAAAAAAAAAAAAATTATGTGGTGAGAGAAGGAGCATCCTATCATTGGGATTTTATGCAGTTTTAGTGGATTACACTTGCCCCCAAACAAATCAATTGTGGTTTAGTGAAATAAATGATGTCTTTGTACAGTTGCTGTTGTTTAATATTTCGAGTCCATTTTAAAATTCAGGGCCGGCATGATAACTTTATAAACTAGTTTTTTTTTTTTTTTTTTTTTTTTTATTCTTTGTTCTTTTATTATTTTTACATCATGTCGAAACATTTACAACAAGCAGCAACATTAGGTAAACATTGGAACACAAAAGTGAAGCTTGTTTATATATATACATATATCTTACTTAACAGCATTCGGGTTAGTCGAACGACTTTTATTGAACCCTACGGTTCGTATTCACAATGTGGACAAGACTACTGAAAAGTTACAAAAGATCCTTCAAGATGGCAGAAAGAATCTTCATTTTATCAGTGGTAAGTTTTGGCACATCCCCAAAAAAAAAAGAAAAAAGGTGACTGAGATAAAAAGGTTAGATTTTGACATGACCATGTCTCGTCATTGGGTTAGAAACAAGGATACAGATGCTTTAGAACGTAATGCTTCCTCTCATGGGATTCCTGCTAGATATGATAAAATGACACCAGAGGTAATGTGTTCTTACAGGGTAAAGATAGACACTTGTATTTTAACTGCTAATTCAAAAA